CCAGCTGCTCTTCTCTTTTGTAATAATAATCACTATTTTTTTCTAGCTGAAAGAGAAAGGGATGATTCCCGGAATAACGTACCGACAGCTGCCAATTGATGGAGGCCAAGTGCTGTACAGTCAGTTATCAAAAAAGTTGAGATTAGGTGAATCAAGACCTTAGTGCAATATCTGGATTATTTTATCCATTCAGTCCTAAACACGCTCTTTAAAACAAACTGTAATCTTACCGCTTAAGTGATTTAGTCAGAATCTCACCTTCCGACATCATATTTTACACCATAGTTTATTCCCAAAACTGGGCATAACATCACATTTCCTGACGGCTTTTAAAAACTTCCTTAATAAAAAAATAGAGACACCTGCTATTTGTAAATGCTATTTATTTATCACTTATTTCCAAACTAGAGTAGTTAATGAAGAAAGAAAAAAGTGAAAAATAAAAAGATTAACTTGCTGCCCTTAGCCGTTTCCCAAATTCTTCAGAGTGTATAGACACAAAGAGGCAGAGAAAGGGCAACTTCTCAGCAGTGCAGCAGAACAGGCTGAAATGACCACGTGAAACTAAAGTGATGCTGGGAATCGAAGGGTGTTTGCTCCTGCCATGGTTCTACACTATGAATGGCTTTTAGGGCTCCCAGTAGTACCCATTAGCAATAGCCAAGCTTTTCTATTTTAATTTAATTTAATTTCTACCAACAAATTCCACCCTGTGGTGAGAATTGACAGTATCACGTTGAGAACCATTAAAGCATATTTGGACTGTTTTTACTCCAGACATATATAAAAAAAAAAAACCCACCCCCACCCGTCTTGGTTTTCTCCAGACAAGCCACTTCATAACAAGAGCAAGGCAGGCACAATGGAGGCATGGCTATACTGTGGGATACCACCGTAGGGAGTGTGGTTGCAGATACTGCAGAACATGCCTTGGCATTGCACTGTGTCAGCGTGGCCTGGTCCCAGCTTCACCCAAAACGTCTCCAGTGTAAACCAGAATGAATTCTGGCAGCACTGCTGGTGCTCGGCCATTCACAGCGAACGCAGAGTTTGGTCCCCTGTGCTGCCTGCTGCCACAGTAAGGCCCATGTATCAGTGTTATTTCCTTTTCCCTTTGAACGTTCTCTGGTCTCTAAGGACATCTTCACTCTTAAAACATCTTTGTGCCTATGTAGCCTTGGGCTCTACTGCGAATGCCTACTGGGAATTCCGCCACTGGGAATTCTGCCATTGGATTTCAAAGGAAACAGAATAATAATGCTCTTTCTTTATTAATACAGGCTTTTCTGTCATGACTTTTAGGCCCCAATCCAGCCAAGCAGGCAAGCACATGTTTAACATTAAACACATGAGTAGTCTCTATTCACATGCTGCAAGTGAAAAACGCTCATTAGTGCTGGATCATGGCCTCAGCCGAGCTGCTCACGCACCTCAGCTACAGAGCCGGGCTCCAGGAAAGGTGGCGCTGAAACCTCTCACTGCGGTTGCACCATTGCTGGCCCAACAGCCTTGGCGTCAGCACAGGAGCACTGCTACCCAAACGGGCGAGCCGATCGCTCAGCATGAAGAGTTGTCCACTTGGCTGCAAAGGCACAACTTGCTGAGCCGTGACAACGTCATAATTCAGAGCCGGTTAGTCGATGAATACAGCTCAAAACACACCACATTCAAGTGCATCCTCTGGAGTATTTTCAACTTTAGCATCGCTTCAATAAATGGTGAAAGGGTTGAATGATTTGGGGCTGGGCACATCACAACAGGGGAATAACAGGCTGCACGGTTGCTGCAATCTCTGGAGCGCTGCCGGCGTCCCGCAAGGCTGCGTGCTGAGTGTCTGAGTTGCACAGGACTGTTCAGACCTTTGTGTTTTTTAAACATGGACTAATCCAGCTTAGAAAACCAGTGTTGGACACGCTTGCCTTGCTCTTCTAGGGCTAGAGCATTGCTGCAGACATGGAAGTAAAAGTGACTGATGCTTTCTGCTTTCCCTGCCCATAAGCTAGAAGGGGAGGTAAGGGAAAAAGCAGGGCGCTGCCTCCCTCTTTTCACTGCCCTAGAAGACAGTCAAGGGCAGTGTCACAGTTTATTGCCACTATGATCCCTCTAGAGCAAGAAAACAGGGGAACTTCTGTGACTCAGAGGGACATCTCTCTGCATCCTGGGGAAATCCCTAGGCAAGGCCACCTTAAACACAGTGATTTGCTCAGGTCTGTGCTGAAAATCACAGTCCAGACTAAGCAGTCTATCATTCTTGGTTAAAATAACACAGATGAAAAGATACATGTGTATAGATTTTTTTTAAATGCTTTTAATACTCTTTTCTCCAAAAAATCGTTACTTCCTTCAACTTCTCAACAAGTATAAGCCTCATATCTTTCCTGCCTCCTCTGGAATCATTAGTCATTGCAGACATCAAAATTAAGGAAGACACGAAAGATTCAGCAGAAGAGTAAAATCTTACTGGAAAACTATTCCTTAATATCAAAAGCAATTCAGGAATAATAAGCATATCTAGAAGAATAATAAACAAATGCAAACTTCCCCTTGCCTGAAAGAAGGCAGGCACAAGATTGTTGAGTTATCTCCTTTTCTAAAGTATCAATTAATTTTTAAAAAGTGAATGTTTCCTTGTGCTCCGGGACTTACATGACAGTCTTACATGACTGCAGAATTGGCTATGCTGCATTTTTGCTGCCTAAATTTTAACCATATCGTAAAATCAGCCAAATTTTCAGCAGAAAGGTGGCTCTCACTACTTGCCTCTCACTTTCCCTGCTGGGACAGCAGTGGGAGCAGTGCTGCAAGCAGTGGCCTTTGGGCTTACCCCACAAAATGGATCAGTTACTCTAAAATACGGTTCTCTGGCTTTAGCAGAAAATGGCAGAATGGTTACAGCTAACCTGCAGGCTTGTTTTGTTTTTTTATCTCTAACACGTAAGTCCCTACTTCTCTCTTGTGTTGCTGCTGTCCGTGAAAACAAAAAACCGAAAAAAAACCCTAAGTTGTCTTTGAGCAAGGACATGGGAAGAGAAAAGGTGGCTAGGGCTTAAAATAAATACACATTCAAAATAAAATGCCATGTGTAATTCAGCTGATCTCTCTTGTTAGGAGACAAAGATGCCTAGTGTCTTTGTGATATCTATTCTCATTTCTCCCCGGCACTGGCTTTGCAGCGTATGCAAACATGGGAAACGAGCTGGTAGCCTTTAGCTGTATATGCCATACCACGTCCTGACAAAGCAGCATTGTTATAAGATTCTTTCTATTGGAAAAAATGTTTGCCAGAAGCCTTATTTTAAACAGTCTTGAAACAGATACGTTTTTAGTTTTACCTGTACAGCAAGATGACCTACTGGCAATTCAAATAGCATAACAGAAAATAAGAGTAACTAGTATATGAGATCCTTTACCTCCCCATATTACCGTGAAGGGAAGAGAAATCAATAGTACTTCCAATATGAATGGAGTGTCGGACTGAGTGAACAGGGAGCTTTGAAATAAATATCTAAGAAATGTTTGGATGAAATGGACATCATTACAGACATTTGGTCTGCATTTCTGAAATGCAGATGATTAAATCCATATTGTTGGCTTCTTCCCCCTGTGCACTACGTCTTTCTTTACATCTTGCAAAAAATTTATGAACAAAGTTATTGTAAATCTGCAATGTCTGTCTTGTCACTTAGATTCTTTTCAAAAATGCTGCCTTGCCAATGGAGATATACAATCCTGTATGATTAATATTTATTACTTATAATTCTAAATACAATGGAAGGTCACCAAAAATACTCTGCATAAAGAAGTCTGGAGCCCTTTAAAATCTCACTGGTGATGGATCCTGATTCTTGAAAACCGAGCTCAAAATCGCAGCAAAACACTTTTCTATGTAGGATTTCCAGTATTTCCTGCTTCTGACTAAGGCTAAAGCCAAAAAGCACAAAGGTGAGCAGAAGTTACAGATCTGAAAACATGAGCTTGGATATCAAAGTCAAACAAAGGTCAGAGAATGCCTGAACCTGTCCATAATTTTGGATCAGCCTATTATAGGGTTAGGAATAAAATGCAAAGTTAGGATCCAGAGTGAGACTTGAATTCACATAGAATTCAAGTACTGTAGCTGATCAGAAAACTGCTCCATTTTCCTCTTTTTTTTTTCGTATCCATCAATACATTTTAGCTGAATTTGTGGGGGTGTTGTTAGAAAATCAAAATATTTACTTTTTGTATTGCTAACTTTTTAAAAAGCAAGGTAGCTTGGGGATTATCAGCTTTTATAATGAAATGCTACAAATATTTATCAAAAATGCCGATTATCTTATAAAACGTTCAATGCACTGAAAACTCATTTTCTTTTTGGTATAAACACAACCATTTGTAAACATCACTTTTTAAAAACAGATGCAATTTGAGGTTGTTGAAATCAACAGATTTTGATTTGGCGCTCTTTTATCAAAATGAAATTAGGAGACGTTAGAGCATTTCAGAACCACAGTATTCAGTAAATCGGTGAAGATTCACAAAGATGGAAGAAATCAGGAGAGACTCTGAACTGGGTCACTTACCCTGCCTGAGATCTGCTGCCTGTTTGTACAATCTTCTTTAAGCAGCTAAATGTAATAAGCACAGAACAAGAAGCTGCCACTGCCTCTACTTCTTCATTCAAAGATCACTACAACTGCGATTAAGCAAAATTGCTAATTAAAGTATGAACCTGCAACATGACAACTGAGAAAAATGCATATTCTCTTGATCAGCGTGCTCTTAGCCAAACCATACTGAAAGAAAAAAATCCAGGTGACTGTTAACGAGAGAGCAGACTTTTCATTAGAAATGAATTTGCAGAGCATTGGTAAAATTACTTTGCTAAACAGATAGAGACATCTAGACCAGTGTGCTGGGCGAAAACAAAAACAGGCAGACAGAAAGGACTGAGTCAATTAAAATAAATAAATAAATAATCAAGTTAATTAAAAAAAAAAAACCCATAAATAATTCCAATCCCATGAAGAGGGTTTTTTTAAACAAGCCACATGTGCTTTATGCAGCCATTCCTAATCTCATTAGATTGTTTTGGGTGTTATTAGTGTTCTCCAAGCCAGCTGATTTCTCAGCAATATTTTAAAGAGTGTGAGCCTTTGCCCTCCAGTCTAGCCACTGTTAAAATGTCCCATCGTAAGGGAAGACTTGGGAGTTCACGGATTTTCTTCCAAGGTTTTGGAAAGCTCAGAACAAACTGATCTCTGCAGGTGCAAGTCAATTACAAAGTATCTTCGGAGTCAACAAGCAACATCCTGCTCCCAGTTGGGTTAGTGTGAAAATCCCACCAAGTCAAAAGAATTGCTTCACATCATCGTGAGCATTACACGGCAGAAGCTAGCTTTCTTTATACGGTGCCTCCAGTCCTCCAGGTTTCTGAGAGCAAACAGGCCTGATGCGAGGTTCCCCTAGGTCACAGCTTACTAGTATGGATCTCCCCTGAAATCAGCGCAGCTCTTCATAGCTCTGATCAGCAGGGGACCCACACCACGCTAGAGCTCAGCTTTATTTTATTATTTTATCTTTCAAAACAACTATAAACCCCCTCAAACTGAAGGCTGAGAGTCATGTACACTCTTGTACATATTAGGGCAAGTGAGTTTCATACCAAAGAGCTGTCACTCTTAATTTGCCAAAGTAATGTGCAGCTGGTCACCAGTTTAAAGTAGATTGCATCACGCAGATACTACAGATAGAACAAAATAATCAGTTTTAGAAAGCAGTTCTAATTCAGAATCCACAGTCATTCAACCCGGACTGATAAATCCTGGAGGAGTGGGACAAAGGCATCGTGCATGGATTTCTGCTAGTGCATTTGCTAACTTTTTGGCTGGGAATGTGCCTCTCTCTGTTTAGCCTGCCCTCCTTCAGACTCACAGAGCAAAGTGCTCCCTGAAAAGGAAGATGAGTGCTTGAAAGTGACCCATCTGGAGCTCAAAGCAGAAGAGAGTGCTTCTCCTGGCTGGAATTTGTATGCAGCAAGAGATTTCTCCTGCCCATCCAAGATTCCTAAGATCACAATATGAAAGAGCTGGCAACCTTACAGTCAAGATGACAACATACGTGGTTTGGTTACCTGTGCCAATTCAGCCTATTTACTGGAGTCAATAGGCTGCCCCCGTTACTGTTGTGTCCCAATGTCTCTAGCAACTTGAAGATCTACTGGGGATATTAGCACCACTCTTCCAAGGGCTACCTGCTCAACTGCTCATTCACTCTCTTTTCCTCTAAACGTTTGGATCCAAAAGCAACATGCACGTTTTATGCAAAGTGGCATCTGCAAATTCGACATATTCGTTCAGGCTTTCCTCACTTGCACCAAGTCAAAAATAAATACCTTATAAACTCCTGGGCCTGCTAAGACAGAAGACGCATTCAGAGAGGTTTTCAAATATGACTGCTAAGAGCATGTCTCCTTTGGGGTCAAACTCCTCCTTGCTCTCACTCATATTTTGCTCCTGCCTCAAGGTTCCCAATAGCAGGGGATAGATTGCACTAGAAAATGGTGTCCTTGAAATAACCTAGAGAAGAACCAGTTCAATATACTCCTAACTGACTTACTTGAAATTTCAGCTAATATCTTATTTTTAAAACTCCAAATAAAACACGTAGTGAGATACTCCAGCATGAAACAAGAAACTAATAAGGTGGACTAATTTCCAATACTGACTGTGAATAATACTAGTTGTGCTAGATCTTAGGTTCAGATTTCTACCCCCACGCTAGAGTTGCCTTATGTTTTCTCCAGGGAGAAGCAGATTTGTCCTAGACCAATACACTTTTAACAGGTGGAATCATAGGGATGCCAACCAAATAGCATAATGATAAGTATATCTTAAGGCAACAAGGAGAAGAGTCTGTAAAATAGGGAACCCTCAGGGATATAGAGCCTCTGCTGAGGTCAGTTAGGATTTGCTGAGCCGCTTGGCCACATCTGCATAGGCTTGCTCAATTTCCTTGTCTGCAGCACAGGTGTTGGTGAACTCATCCCTGGCATAAGCGTTCTTCAGGTACCGCCACAGCCCCGTCATCTCTGTCGGGAACTCAAAGTTGCGATATTTCTTTGCAACAATCTAAAACAAAGACAAAACAGAAAAAAAAAAAAAAGCAACCTGCTGGTGATACATCTCTAGATTCTTTTTTCAGACAGCTTGTTACTCTTTCTTAGTCATATAATAGCACAGGAGAGAAACGCTTGGAGGCACAGAGGCTTAAAACAGAAGACTTTGAAAAGTGACCATTGGTCAAGCCCTACCTTGCAAAAATGCTACTCGACCTAAGTACACTCCAATGAAATTGCCAGGCAACTATCACCAAATTATGACTTTTTATGTTACCTAAAGAGTTAATTAATTTTACCACTGTATTTTTGGTGTTTTTCCACCATTCTTATGTAAGTCACTCCTTAAAGCTGGGGTGCAAACAAGAGCTCATTAGCTGAAATCATAAAAGGAAAATGGATTTAAGGTAAAGAGTAACAGTTAGGAGGAACACGTGTTTGCTTGGCCAATGATGTCAGAGGACTTAACCATCTACAGTTGTTGGAAGGATCTATCCATGATCACGCAAAGGAAAAATCTAGGGTGATATGGGTACCACGAAGGAGAAACCAAGGTGATTTAGGAAACACCAGAAATCATAGGAGTATTAGGATAAACTGAGGGAGAAAATGGTTATTTAAAGACTTGTTAGACTTGGAAATTGTCTATCAAGGGAAATTCTCAATTACTGAAAACACTCCGGCCCTTATGCAGCAAAGTATTGAAGTGCATACTTAATTTTAAGCACCTGTATAGTCCCACTGAAGTCAACGGGATTAATCTGTGTTTAAAGCTAGTTGGTTGGTTAAGTAGCTTGCTGGATCGGGAGGTTTCAGTTTTCCTCTAAGAATATACCATATCGAATAATCCTGTGGTGACAGAATGAACTAGCTGATAGGAAGGGATGGATTAGCTGATTTCATGAGTGCTTCCAATCTTTAATTTTTCTGACAGTATAAAATTGTTCCTGGGCATAAATTACACACATATGTGCCACAGAGTTCCTCTCTATTTTTAAAGTACATGGTAGAGCTGTTTTCCATCTCAGATTTCCTAGGACAGTCATGCTCTCAGAAATGATTATGATTTGTTTTTATTACTATGCTCCATTTGGCATAAGCAAGGCCAAACTCTGTCCTAAACTGCATTTAATTAAGCATTCTTGCCTTCAATGATGTTACACACACGCATAGGGAAGATAAAACCTGCCGGGCAAATTAAGTCAATATTTTCACAATTTCCAGCATGCATCTTTCATCAAATGAAAAAGGCTTTAGAATTTACCCTTTTCTTCTGTCTGTAAAATGCTTTTCAGACAATACCCTATGGTTACTATGGTTCTCCTGTCTGAGAAAGTTTTTAATTCTCTTTTGACATCTTTCTTTTTATCTCAAGGAGACAGGAACTAGTAAGGAGCCACACAATAATTTTGCATTGTCTCACTCCAACGTCACCAGTGAAGATGAGCCAAAGAAAGAACTAAGCCTATTAGGATATGATCACATTTCTTTACTGGTGACTTATGCACTTTCTTTCTTTCTTTCTTCCCCAACAAGCCTGAGGCAGGTCTGCCTGGGAGGCACAAACACACAGGCTCTCCTCATATAATTACAAAGTGGTTTTTTTTTTTTTTTTTTTTGCATGTGTGCAGTCAGCTTGCATGGCTCATGTTATGCATTGGCTCATGGAGCCAAATTAGATACATGACTTGGCTTTATTTCCTAGCTTTCTTGCTTGCCAAGGTCTTCCAGGTACTTGCTTTATTCTGAAGAAACATGCAATCTGATAAATTAAATAAATACAACATTTAGAAGTCAGGATGATGTACATCATTTGCACTATTCCAGTGGCCATTGTACATCATGAATCCTGGACCTCAGTGGCGATTCCAATTTGTTAACCTCTCTGCAGGAAATACCAGCAGGAACAAAATCCCCCCCAACAGAAAAACTGCTGTTCTCAAGTTGCAAATGTGTGAGAATGGACTGAAGTTTGACATCACTTTTAAGAATAATGGGAATTAATTAACATGAAACACTATGATGTTACTTGCAGCCGGGTGAAAATAAGAGACCAAGATACCTTTATGCTAATATTGTCTTTGCTGTTAACCCATGATGTGACCTAATGTGTCATTCTCTTTCCCCATGTACTAAGAAGGAAGTTGCCTAAGTTAGCCTAAAGTAAACACTGAAGAGAAAAAAATGTGTTTCTAACCCTGCTCTTCTAGGACTTAAGACATCTGTGCTAATATACATGTTGGCTTTATGCTTATCTGCCAGAGCAATGGAAAGTATCTTCACTGGACTCATTTCGTCTAACCTATGCCCTTGCTCATCCATGCTAGTAAGCACAGGGAGGAAAGATCTGCGTGTTACATAGCCCTGTGGTCTTCTGCCCATCTCAGAGTGCACTTGACATCAGCATGTGGCCAGGTCTCTTTACAGATAGCTTCCTTTACGACAGTTAAGGTGAACTGACTGAGGAATTACCGGAGAGCCTGGTCCGATCCTTAAATCTTACATATACCCAAAAGAAAATGGATTTTTCAGAAACTGAGGAAAGTTTACAATCAATCAAGTGACCTTTATACATTGCAGAATTCATCTTTATACTTTCGGCCAATGCCTAAAAAAATTTGTAATACCGCATAGATCAGACTCCTTCACATAGAAAATAAGTGATGGGCAGATAAAGCAACAGCACCACTGTTCAACGTCAAAAGCACATGTATGAATGAGAGCACTTCACTGTCAGGGAAGACTTCTTTGTCACATGCCACCTTTTACCTTAACAACATGGAGTTTGGGCAGAAGGTTGCAGTCAGCAAGAGTCAGGTCATCTCCATCCAGAAATTTGCGTTTAGACAGCTTCTCCTCTTCAGTGCTGTTTGCATCAATCTCCTCAGGCAGAGGGGTTCTCAGATAGTCATCCAGCTTCTTCAAAGCCTTCACCAAACCTTTTTCAAGAACTTGGCCAAAAATTAATAAATAAATGATTAGGAGAGAGTAGGAATTATTTGGAAACACACAGCATCAATGGCTCTGACAATACCTGGAGAAAAGGCAAGAGCCATTTCTTTGCTGTTAGCTACCTGAAATGGAAAAAGCTGTTATGCAGTGTCTTTTCCTGACTAGCAGAAAAAGAGATCACGGAAGAAAAGACCTGGTTGTCAGGATGAGATTTCCATAACACACATTCTCCCGATGGTGGTTTTTTGGTTTCTTGAGGCCTTCACACAGTAAGTTGAAGCCCTGTATAGTGTTACATTATTTTTCCTAAGCAGCCAGGTGGGACGTAAGGAATGGGAATTCTCTAGCACTACTTTAGCCCTAAAAAATTGTAATTTTATTGCTTGTAAATGGCTTCCAGATTAATTAAAGGCAATAGCAATGATTGCAAAGATGCTAGCCAGAGCTCGATGGTGCTAGATTCCCTCAGTAAGTTGGAAGATACGCTACAGCTGAAATGAAAGTAATATGATGACAACTAAATAAAAAGCTACAGAAAACAGATGAGGTATTCAATCAGTTTTAAGATTGTCCTTACACTAGGGTCAGTTTGGGTGCAAATTCTCTTTTTGATATATCACAACAGAGAAGAGACTTTGGACCTCTCATTTCAAGAACTACTGAAAACCATGTCACAAACTGCTGTTGGCTCCAACAAACTCCATACATAAAATGTCACCTAGATATAGTAGTATACAGTACAGTGCAATTTTTTTACTTGAAAATATCAACCTGGGCACACAATTTGTGTACTTATGCTTTACCGTCAGGATAATACAAAAACATGACTTGTAACAACACACTCATAGAAAGCTGAATGAGAGTGCAAAGTTATTTAAACTGAAAACACTCTGGGGCAAGAAGGATTTTTTTCTTCTGCCTTTGAAGGGTTGCTAGCATGATGGGGTCCTGGCCCCTGACAAGTGCCCCAAAGTGCTAAAGCAATATAAATAAGAAATAGCAAGAATTTACAATGTGAAAAAATAACAACATGACTTATGGGCTTAGGGCCAGAATTTCAGCTGGTGAAAATTACCTGCAGTGATTTATACCTGCTGCAGACCTGGCCCAGAGTCAGCATTTTAGGCCTAATCCTGCAAAATCTTATACCTCTGAGTAACTTGCTGCCATTTAACTTAGGGGAGACTACTCAACATGTCAAGTTACTCACGTGGTGTAAGACTACAAAGCCTATAGAGATAAATATATTTGCAGAGCACAACTTAAGCTTCAAAAGGCTGCAGAAAGTGCCCCATATACAACAGCCTGCTGGCACAGGTAGCTCTGCTGGCTCTGCTGCGAGCCGCTCCTGTGTTCTTGGCACAGAGAGAAAGGCAGCGTGTATGGGGCCATTCACAGAGCAGGAGCTGAACACCACAGAACATGAATTCTCTGCTGCCCTAACATCCATTAAACCTTATGCCAGTGGTGGAAGTCAGATTAAGCTGCCTGATGTCTTGCTTCCACTGAAGCCTCTTGGCCAAGCACCAAGCAACCATACCAGCTCTTTTGTGGCTGACTCTTAAAGACACAGTGGCAAATCACAGCTTAATTGATTGACTGGAGAAATGACTGCGATCCAACTGAAAACACCCCAACAAACATAGCAGGGAAGGAAAGAATTTTATGTCTGAAAGCACAGCATCTAAAGCGACTGAAGTGTTGCCATCTATAAAACAAAAGTGTTGCCATCCCTTATTTAATCAATTCAAATTGAATTTTGACACTGACATTCTGCTGTCAGATCCTGGCAGTGGTGTCTTTAATCATCTGCAGCTGTGCTCTGCTGCACAATTTCTACTGAAGAGTAATAACAACATGGCATGAAATTTACCCTCATGTGGCAACACCCAAAATATTTAGCAATCTTTTTGCTTTGACCCGTAACACCTGTTGAATAGATTGTTCTCTTTCTCTTGGTCAGCCTCAGACTATGTCCTCTTACATTTAGAGACACTGGAATCAAATTACTGCAGTTTAATTCAGTTTTGCTCCCTCGGATTTTAGAAAGTAGGCTTAACACTGAGCAGCATTACCAGCATTTCCCTTCACCCAGTAAGATTTTTACTTCTTTTACTTCTTCGAGTCATCTGTTCAATATTTCCAGTATAAGCAGTACGCTAGATGCTTTGTGCTAGGTGTGTTAGGTGTGTTTATAAGGACAGGAGCAGCAGGTGAGATGTATTTATGTAACTCTTTTCTGGAACTTATTAGGATTTTTCTTTTTCTTTTTTTCCCCCTCTTATTGATATATCAAAGTGCGTCATGGCTGTCTCAAAAACAATGCCTGGAGTGAAGCCTAATTGTGACAGTGAGAAAAATATCTATCTGAATTCATACTTGGCGCTTGCACATGACTGGTTTAGGCCAGAAATAAGCATGTGTTCCGGGTTCAGCACATTTGTGACCTACTCCATAGGCTCTGCTGGAACCAACCTGATCCTAAGATCTCCCAGTGAAATCACCACAAGGATCGGGCTCATCTCATATTCTGATAATGAAGACCCGGGCCACTATTTGTGACACCGGAGTATTGTATGACCCTATTTAATTAATCAAAATCCTCCTGATCATAGTAAATCTCAAACAACCACGAACATCGAACAGCAGAGAACAAGGGAGAACTGCCTTTCTTCCAAGCTGAGTGTAACGACAGAACTTTGAAAAGCTACGAGAATTAAGAGACTAAAATTCCATTTCTGAATGGAGTTTAAGTGGCCAGGGTCAGATTTTAAAACCTTTAAATATTTTTCAAGGCTTTTTTTTTGAAATCCATATGCAAATATCCATGCTGCAAAACCTAATTTTTAGATATCTTGTCACAGCCGTGAGGTGAGCATGCAGATTTATCTATATAATGGACAGGAACTCTTAGGTTCCTAAAGAAGGTGCTAAGAGATATTCATACTCTGACCAGGAGACTGTGGAAAACAGTCCATAAAATATTGAAGTAAGAAAGAGGCTTCCAAGCCCCACATCCCAGAGAGAGGGTTAAGCGTCTAATTCTGGCATGGTGGGGGAGCCCATGTTATGTCAGAATTCACCAGTGACCCCTCCCAAGAGACAGGTACCTAAAGCAGGTCAGTTTTTAATTTCTCACAGAAAAATACAGGGAAGTGCTGTACTTTTCCCTGCAAAGGGAAAGCATTTTCCTGGAATGTGGAAGACTGAGTTTTAAATGCCTCTTCAACAGGACCTCAATCCAGATCTCCCAGGTGAAACCTCTAGCCAGTAGAGTATCAGCTAGAGTATGGCTCTCCTGTTGAACTGTTTTACTTTCCATAAAGGATTGAACATGTAATGGATCATAACTGAAGCCTGACAACAGAGGAGAAAGCCTGAAAAAGCAGCTCTCCTGTTTCCTCTCTTATCTATTCAATATTTAAGCGTTCTATGAAATGTGGGGGGAAAAAAAAGGTAAAGAGATACAAGAAATACCCTCCTTTGAATATCCTACAACTCCGAAGGTTTTGGGACCCTTGCTGAGTGAAGAGATGTCCAGACTCATATTATTGAACAAAGCAAGCAGAAAAGAGATTTCATTCTGAATCTCCCACACTATTGCTATTTGGTGAAAATCTGGATGACTCTGTACACAGTTCCCACTGGGAACAGAGAGGACAGCAGGCACTCAGCCAGGCAGGAGTCCAGTGAGTACAAGTCCATCACTAGTTAACTGAAGGCATTTAAAGGGATGTGACTGATTAAAAAGTGACTGATTCCCCATCTGTGAATATACTGCCCCCAAAGAATTCCGGAAGAGGCTAGGCAGCTAACGCTCATTGCACCTTATCCCCTTGGTAACATCGTTAAATAGCTAAACAAGTTTGCTGGTAACAGCTGAGTCTTCACTGAAAATTGCATTTAATCTCCACTAAAGTAATTTAAGTTAAACGTATAGGTTGGAATTAACCTTCCTCAGGGTGGAGTCAGTGGAGTCTTCTCCTCTACACTGCAGTTGGTTTGGGTGGCTCCTAAGTCAGCTGTATAGGGAACTTTCTCCTAAGTGTCTAACTATGACCTTGCATTGTCTTGGTAATGGCAGGGGGGAGGATTCAATATTGCAACACAAAGTGGAGCTATGCCAGAGAATGTAGCTCTACACTGATTTTAAGAATTTTACTTCCAATTACTTCCCCACCCTGTAGACTTTTAGTATAAACTCAGACATCCAGAACGTAACCAGCTCTACGAGAGGAGCCCTGTCATCAGGTTACCGCTGCAACAACTGCAGATGTCGGCGCTGATAGAAACCATCTTCCTAGGCAGTGAAATCACCAAGCACAAAGACACTATTACCGTATTGCCTCCACAGTGATGCATTTGATATAACTTCAAATTCCAAGAGGTTCTACCCGTGTAGATACAAAATACACGGCGAAACCACCTCTCACACCCATCACCACTCTGTTCTGGACTATGTGTGTTGCCATAAGACAACTCAGAGCAATCATGGTCCTGCTATGTCGTTCCACCAAAAGTAAATAAATATATTAGTAGAAAAAAAACTCATGAGGCCTTTGTGATTTTCCTTCCCCCTTCAGAACTGTGCTTTTATACAACTTTACTTAAGAATTCTGAGTTAGAAGCCAGAAAAATAGCACTTTCCAACCTCAAAGTAACCACAGAACACTTAATGAATGTATTACCATCTGTCAAATGCAGAGGGTGAGGTTCAATTTAGCTGATGATACCTAATTCACAATGACGCTCTGTTTTCAGCAAAAGGTTACTTGATGTTGAACAATGAGATTAACAAATCCCGACACGCACAGAATTACAAATAATGTAGCAAAAGTTAATAAGTGGCAAAACTGTGCTCTCAGTTACACTGACATAAAAGAAGAGTAGCTCCACATTGTCAACAAGCTATTCCATATTTACTCCAGTTCAACCAAGAACAGACTTTGGCTCTGTTACTCAACTCTTCAAGCAAAAACTTCCTTAAACTATTAGCCTG